GGCAGGCAGCTGAGATGCGCAGGGGAAGCAGAAGGAGAAGGGCAGGCAGCTGAGATGCGCAGGGGAAGCAGTCGGATCTGGGCTGGAGACAGGAGGGGATGATAGATAGTTAGTGAGCGGTAGTGTTGCAAACAGAAACAACTGTAAGTAACTCCTGGAAAACCTGAAACAAAGGCCAAACACACACTCTTCAGGAATGGTTGCTCAGGGTTTAAATAGTTATGCGAGGTTCTTAACAAGGTTGATAAGCCCGGCCTGATCTCGTTAGCGAGGGCCCTGATGAGCTCTTTGCACGGGTGGAATGCGGCCTGGTGATTGAGGTGGCTGACGCAGGAACACATCAGGCACAGAAGTCTTACAAAAACCCATGTCGGTGACAGACACCTTGTCTTCTCAGGACGTTTTTAACAATTTGCAGTCATTCAAGAGAAGAAACTCAGAGCTTGGGGTGACAGAAAATACCTTTGCCCTCCAGGCGTTGACGTTTCCTTGGTTATTCAGCCGAGCGAACGAGGGCTGCCACATCCCCTTCAACCAGTTGGAGTAGACAGAGCTGGCTGTTATCATGTCGTTAGGGATGTCTCCGCTTTCCATTCCCAAGGGAATGGAACATCCTGCAAAATACCAGCCAGCTCTCAGCCATTAGTGTCACGAACCGTATTCCCGCGCACTTCTCGCCGTCAACACCTGCGCACTAGTTAAGCTCTTATCACTTCTCATGTTTTTCCCTATTTATACCCTCCCACTCCTCTCAGTCCCCGCTCACTGTTGACATCGACTTTTGACTTTCTCTTGTGCGCGTACCTCTCTGACCTGACCTCTGGATACCTGACCCTGTTCAATCTCTGGCCTTGACTTCCGTCTCAGTCTAGCGTCTTTTGGATTTGGATACCTTTCTGACCTGACTTCTGGATACCTGACCCTGTTCAATCTCTGGCCTTGACTTCCGTCTCAGTCTAGCGTCTTTTGGATTTGGATACTCTCGACCCGACACTCCGGAAACCAGACCAAGCCTTCCTACCTCGACCTCGTATTCTGCCTTTCGATCCTGGGATTTGGACGCCAAACTCATTCAAACTACTCTCTCAGCACCGCGTAGGGTCCGACCAGTTATTCTCACACATCCCTAGTGACAACATTGACAATCAGCGCAGCTTTCATTACATTCCTTGATCTACAAATTACTAGAGCAAAGCGTCGTCTCTGGCCCATATTAATCATTCTTGAGTTTAACACTAAGATAAACCCGTTAGATAGATCCAGTCATTTAGTAATGCTTTAGGCCCTATGGCCACTTAAAAAGTGGATTCCTTCTTTATTATACTAGATGTTTGTGTTCTTATTCATCCTTTTTAATGAGTGTTTATTGCTGTGCAGCGTAATCTGGCAGTTAAGGACAGTCTTTTAGGAGAGAGTCTGCATTAGCGTTAGTGCTAAATTCTCCAACACAGATGACTGTGGTATCCTTGAACAAGGTCAGCTGGGCTGTGGAAAAAGGGGTTTCAGATGTTACAGGAGGGTTCTAAAGTACAAGTGTTCCATCTGGTGCGGGAATCCTGCAGTCAGTTCACAAAGCTCTGTAGAAACTATTCACCTGCTTTGAGAAACTATCACGATGCAGGTCGGCTGTCAGTGGAAACCAAAGCTTTTCACTCACAGAGTATTCACAGACAGAGAGTGAGAAGATACCTCCATTTCATTACAGTTGCCCATGCTCTTAACTATGGCTCTAATGTGCTAAAATGCAGTCTCAGCCTCAGTCTTGTGTTTAAATTAGGCAACAGAGTGACAATCTGTTCTGAGCATCCCAAATGGCTCAACTGGTATAAAGGTGCTCACTTGAACACAGGCTGAGCTCTATGATAGTGGGTTTGAGCCTGAATCATGTCACTAGCTGACTGCCTAGGATTCCCCAAGCAGTGTGAGGTTAGTCAGCCAGCGCTCTCAACAACACAGAGACCCGTGAAGCCTTCCAGGCACTTGCAGGCATGAGGTTCTGGAGGTGAGGGACATGCCTCTCCTCCAGTCAGCACTGATTTACCAGTATGAGAGGTGGTGGCACCTGTGATGTGTTAAAAGACAATTGGCTGTAAGGTGGGTGGGAGGAATCTGCCTACACTTTTTCAATGTTCCCTGTGGGCGGTCATAGGGTTCAAACCTGAGAACTGATGCATGAGAAACACAGAACTGTCTATTCCAAAATGAGTTGGAATAAAACAAAAAAGATCTGGCAATTCTGAATGTATAAAAAGTCTCGACCTAACCGGACAACTGGAGAGTCTAGTCTTGCTCTATATGCCTTTCAACTCTCTTCTTTTCAATCCTAACTTAATCCACAGTCTTATAAGATTCACAGGAATACAGTTGTTTATTTTACGCATTTGTAAAACTCAAAACTCAATTTAGAAACAAAACAGCTATGTATTTCTTATTCTTGTATCATAATTTGAGAAAAACATTATCAAGACTGCAGGTCCAACAGCTCATGTCCATGAGCCATCAGAGATGCCAAGTGTCTTCAGACACTGCAACAGGAATAAAACATGTTATTAGCTACTAATATGTACATGGTTGGTCTCATGCTGTGAACAACCTCTCCTTTGTCTCCTAGGTGATTATTATTTTTTGTAAATACAAGGAGCAACACGTCTGTGGACTAAAGGCCAAGCAGTTCACATCATCAGGTCGCTCACCGTCCAGCTCACATCCGTAGAACTCCATCCGCACAGTGGGCGTGCCGTAAGACTCCACCGGGTGCAGCCGGACCAGCCGTGCGATCATGGGGGGGTAAAACACGTTTTCCTTCACATTGTAGGAATTTTGGTTTCCTTCAAAGGTCTTGAGTGACAGAGAGGGAGAAGATTTCATTATGGTGGCCCATGCTCTCTTTTACGTTCTGTAACATGGTGTAGAAACCGTGCTTTCAGCCAGAGTTTTGTGCTCCCATTAGGTGACACAAATGGCAGTCTGTATTATTTTGACTTGCTGTTCATTTTGCTCCAGAGCCCGAGGTAAGCTATGAATCACACACAAGAAATTCTGCTTTGTGGATTTACATTGTGCTGAGTCTTGTAGCGCACACAGACTTTGGAATAGATGACAGAAAAAAAGAGGAGAGGACTTGAATCATAGCATTTTACTATTCTAATAAATAATAAAATGACACTTGGGACAAGGGTATTATTATTAGGGTGTAAATCTTCACAGTGTGGCAAAGTACTGTGTACTATTATACGTACTGTACTATACTGTACGTACTATTATAAGTACTGTTATATGCGAAAAGATAATTCCTAATGCAAGAAATTGTAAGGGTTAATAAAGTGCTGTTAAAGTATAGGGCATAGTTTTATTATTATGGAGCAAGGCTGTGGCTAATTCTCTGCTGCCTTGTCACTAAGACTGTAGTTCATAAAGTCCATCAGGGTTTATATGAACTACATTTCCCAGGTGATCATGGGATGATCACCTGATGATACTTCCTTGGATGGAATAAACTCTGTGTTTTCAGTTAAAGTTTGTTTTCAGTGTATATGAGTTCGCAGTCTATTGTTTGAGACTGTGCAGAATGCTGATTTTGCCATCTGACTCTCTGCTTGGGGAAGGGTGCTTTTCTTGTGGTAGAAGAAGATGAAGGTTTTAAAAACCTTAAGATTTGATCAACTTAATCTGAACATTTTTTCTAACATAATACAAATGAGGAAAATGGATGAGCCTTTGGGCAAAATATATGTAGGAAACCAAAAGAAGAGTATTTTGATTTTGGGGGGCTTTTTTTTTTCTTTTAGTCTTTGAATTATGTGCTCCTTCAGTGCTGTGGAGTACTTGGAACTACTGCATTAAAAATGGAAACAAAAGCTGAAAGTCGGCAAACTGAATCTCTCTGAACAGGTAGAACATAAACAGACACTGAATGAAGTTCACTGAGGAGCTGCTCGCACCATTCTAAAGGAGTCACTCCTGCCTTTGTAGTAGATCCACTTCCTCTTGTCCGTGCTGTAGGAGATCAAGTACTTCTGCACATAGTAGGAGCTGAAGAGCTGCTTTGCTCCCTGTGTGGCTATTTTACTGATCACCACTGGCCTCTGAAAATCCACCTGTAGTTCACAAGGAAAACCCCAATCACACACAGAGGAAGGAGGTTGTAAAGTCAGTCGGCCTGTTCACACAACAGTAAAAGTTCACACATCGTGAAAGTTGTCCACTATGGAGCTGAGAAATGCTCTAGGGAGAGACATGGGACCAATGGAAACCTAAGGCAGTGCCTGCTGTACATCAGCTCTGTGTGATCTTCCACTCTATACTGTATATTGACCTTGCAATGTGTCGGTGCAGACAGCTCACAGATGAGAAACAGAGCTCATATGAGCCTGTTTTGGTGATGTAATCCTCTAGAAACCAAGACAGTATGGAATCCTCCTGTAGTAGGAGACTACTGTGTGTATACTCTGAGCTGGCCTCCACACAATTCCAGCAGGGAGCAGGGCTCCACATCGCCGATACACAAAGCCGCCCTGTGTCTGCTCTCAGTATTCATGAGAATGCTCTCTCTAAGGTCCCATGTATCAGATGTCACAGTCCATAATGGATAGTTCCCACGTTAAGGTTTTTTGACTAGTTGGACTAACTTTATCAGCATCCTGATTGCATTTAAAATATAAATTCTGATACACGAACGGCAAAAATACATTTGCAGAGAAGTTGCAGAGAAATGTCATTCCTAGAGCAAACACCTCCTTTAGATCAATTTTAAAGCCATAGACTTCATATGTTTGTCACAGCCTTCACACAGTAGGGCAGCTCAGTTTTCAAACCTTGCACCTCTCCTGCAAAATGTGCTTCCAAAGACTTTGGCATCCAGGAAGAATGAAACTGTTCCAAGAGGGGGACAAAAGAGCACGAGCACTTCCCAATAAAGTCCAAAGTAGCATTGAAAGTAGCAGTCACTGTTGTGTACGAATCATAAAAAGCTGTTAGCTTCTTACATTTCTTACTTACTGCATCATCGACTGGTTTATCTCTGTTTTTTCTTCCATTTTTTCCCAAACAAAGCAATCCTCCCTGTTTCGGGGAGATTGTTTGAATGTGAACACTGTACCCTAGGGTAAAACTGCCTTCTCGTTAACCCACCTGCCTCTCACCACACAGCGACTGTCCATACCTGGATCCAGAGTGAGTTAGCCGTGTTCTCGTCAACACTCCAGGCGTTGTATTTGCCTGTGTTGTGAAGTCTTGCTAAATGGGGCTTCCAGTCCCCTTTGGAGACAGCAAGAGAGATTTTTGTTTGTGTTCAACAGCCAAGACTCAGGAGACTCATTCTCAATCTTCATTATTGGAGCACGCACATTGCGCAATACTGAGTCTAAACAACAGTTTTTTAATATCCTGGGTTACTGTGGAACCATTTAACAGCTCCCTACAGTGGACCAGACTGAGAACAGTGAGGACAAGTTTAGATTCCATCCAGCGAAAAATGTTTTCTTGATTCCGTGTACAAGAGTAATTGGGGGATGAAATATTGACCAGGAGTTTATAAATCTTCGGTGCATTGTCATTCACTTCTGTGCATCGTGTTTTTACTACATATGTTTCTCTCTGGCATTAGCACTGCAGAAATCATCTGACAAGACATCGATGCAGCCATGACCTTTGTGATAATATTGTAGCAGCTGTACAGAAATTAGTGTTTTTTTTCCTGCTATTCATATTGCTGATACGCTGCAAAATGATGTAGTTCCCTTATGTGGTGGTGTTGAAGATCACAAAACATTATTTATTTGTAGTGTTTTGCACTAAATACCACCCTCTTAAATGCAATTAGCAGTCATTGTCATGTCATTTGCCAAACCGCTTTATACCATATGGTGTCGCGGGAAACTGGAGCCTACCCAGCAAGCAATGAGCGCAAAGCAGGGTACATCCACGTCCCACTTACACTACTCCCAGCAGCAACCATAACTCAACTCTGCTTAGCTTCAGTGGGTAGCCACTTGAGAGCTGCAGGGTGATATGGCTACTGGCAGCAGTCGTTGTGTCTTCACTAAATGCCAATATAGCAAAACTCATTACCCTCTGGGTAATGTGATTACTGTGCTCTATGCAAATGTCTGTTCTGTTGATAAGACTATTGTCAGATTATCTCCTTCAATAACTGGTGAAAATAAACCAGCAACTGCTATACTGTACATGTACACGCACCCCTTGCAATAAAAACTGTTGACTTATTCTGATTTTTTCTACATTGAAGCATGCATTTCAATACCCTTTATTCGCTGTTCAAAGTAATTTTTTATACTATAAAGGCACTTCCCATGAGATCTCCTTTACTTAGGGATTTTTTTTATCATGGAACATCTTCCCTATTTTAAATGTCATGTCAGAACTTCAGGTTTTACAAATATCAAACAAAATAAAGAAACAAAAGCACCTGACTGAAAGAATTGGAGTGTTAGAAATATTAGAAAAAGTCTTATATAACATCTTCGACTCTTATACTACTGTATGTCAAATAGGCTAATTATCGTAAACACGCAATGGTGTCCCCATTGTGTCAATTCAGATGTCTGCATTTTCTAAACCTAACAGTCAGAAGCTTTTGCATGTATTTCATTTTCTAATAGAGAACTGGCCTTTCCTGCGCTAATGGACTTACCTCTGTATTGGGAAGCAGTTATCTGGTTGTCTTTCACACTTTGTTGCTGCAGACCCAAGGGATTGCCACAGTCTGCAAGACACAACCATGACATTCACTCAAAGGTGTATAATATAATATCATATCATATAAGATAATAATTACATAGCACTTTTGTCCTAATTTGTTTCACTAGCTGAATTAAGGGGTTCTTTTAAGGAGGTTAGATTGAGCATATCCAGAGAGGAGTTTATGAGCTCAGTGAAGCTGGACAAACAGCACAAACAATGAAACAATGAATCGGCAACTCTTGTGGTTACATTAAGTTATCGGAGATTTAATTTTACTATTTATACATATGCTCAGAAAATACTGTTATCCAAATACACAACCTCCACCCCCCAACACACTCGCAGAGAAAGCAAATTGCTGGTGTGTTATCCTCATGTTCAGTAATTAAGTACATTGACTATCCAGAGTGTATTCTACCAGTAAAGTTCTTTGTAGACAGTCACGGGATTATCTGCAAAATAAAATGCTATATCTCAGGAATGAAAGCCATCTGGAAACTTTTTTCATCATCGCAGATCAGCATTAACGGTCTACATTCAGTTCTCTTACACTTCAAACCCCTGAAAAAAGAAAGCACTATTTCTCTGGAGTGAAAGCAGCACAAACTCTACTTTTAATGGCACAAACCAGAACAGACTAAGCACTAACGAATGTGGTAGTTTTCATTGGTTCTGCCATTTGTACTTCATGGAGCTGAATTTTTCAAGGACACTGGGGTAAATATTTCTACTCTTGTGAAAAGCACCAACAGATCTTTAACGTCCAAGCAGTTTGGACCTTAGGTTAATTCAGGGTTGGGGACTTTAGTTTAATGCAGGTCATGGCCAAGAGGGTTGATGTGTTAGTTGTCAAGGTGTTTTGACAAGCTTGATGATCTGGGATAAATTGTTCCATTGATCTCATTCCAGTAACAAAAAGTGGATTTACGTTTTTCATTGCAGAGCAGGAATGACAACCTGCAGACACACTGGCTCTCTGGGACCAGAAAAATGTTTAATTTAAGGGAGAGCACCTACTGTACTACAGTACAGCGTCCTCTTTGGTTTGGAAACGCTAATCCACAGAAAATAACACCCCCTACAGGTCTACCAAAACCACTGAGAGCAGCAACATGTTTTATTTTCTGAAGTCTCCCATCCCAGTACTGAGTAGGCTAGGGCCTGCTATACTGACTGATGCACACCTTCGTCTAAAAGCAGGAACAGAGTCTGCATCCCCTTCTGCTGGAACTCTCCCACTTCGGACTCTAGCAGCCACAGGCCTGGCTTAGAGGGCCTCATTTCCACAGTAGCAAAGTCACCTGAGAGAACAAAAAACATCTGAAATGAGAGCTAGCATGGGAAAAGATTACTCTGGTATGCTACAGTGAAAGCAGAGTAAGAGTTGATAGAACCCAGTGAAGTCATATCATAGCTGATGCAAAAGCACACAGGTATGACAACTTTGTCAGGGTAACTGTTCGGAAGGGAGTTCAACCCTTAGGTGATACATGTTCTTAGTGGCGTCTGAGAAAGACTGCAGTGTGGAGCAGTGGCTAGGACTTGTAACTGGAAGGTTGTGGGTTTGAATACCAGGTGAGACTGCTGCTGTACTCTTGAAAATGGAATTTCACACTCACATCGCGTCCCTCAGACTTGACCCCACTTACTCTTGCAATTGAGAACAAGGGTGAACAATAGCTTATTCTGCATGGGGAACATGTAAGTTGGGTGGTGTGGTGGCACTGTGGCTAAGGATCTCCACCTGTGCCTGGAAGGTTGCTGGTTCAAATCCCATGGCTGGCAGAGGGGTGCTGTAAAAATGACTGACCCTGCACTCTGACCCCAAGCTTCTCTCATCCTGCCTGTGTGTCTCATAGAGAGCAAGTTGGGGTTTGTGAAAAGACAAATTCCTAATGCAAGAAATTGTATATGGCCAATAAAGTGATCTTATCTTTTCTAATTTCTAGCAATTTAAAAACCACAGAGACCCAACACAGTATTCAGTTTATACACTGTAAGTAGATGCAGGAGAGCGTTGCCTGCTCCAGAATCCGAACACATCTCAGCCCAGTGGCAAGATGGCATGAAAAACACCTTTGGTTACACTAAGGCACTGTGCTTGCACCTTCATTTTTTGCACTTTTGATCTTATTGTGTTCAAGGGCAAAAAGCAATAAGATCAAAAGTGCAAAAAATAAGGTCAATATAAAAAGCAAAAATCAGAAAAAACACATATAATATCAAAACTGCAGTAAGCACACAAATTAGGTCTGTCACTCACCAGGAAGCAGAGGGTAGACTCCCATTCGATAGTCCCTGTTCTGTCGGTTTAGAAAGGTCTGTCCGTGGAAGTGGACACTGTGGATGTCTTTTGGGGAGCCCATGTTAATCAAGTGCCACCTAACGAGCTGATTTGTGTACATCCTGAGTCCCTTCAGACTGTAAATGATCCCATTGATGGCTAGAAGAGAGGAAATAAGCAGAAGTGGATGCACTGAAGTGCTAGAAACACTTATTTAAAAATGAAACCGTAACAATAAGGTCACTCGTGTCACATTTAACAGCTGAACTGCAAAAAGCACACATTAGTGCCATTCCCGATCTGAACTGAAAAGAACGTCTTCAAGCCAGAAGTTACAAAAGTGACTGCAAGCTTTTAGTGGCATCAATCCATCCATTTTCTATCCGCTTCTTCCAGTTCAGGGTCACAGGGAGCTGGAACCTATCCCAGCATGCAATGCATGGCAGGACACAGTGTACAGGACGCCAGTCCATCGCAGGGGACGCACAGACACACACACACACACACACACACACACACACCAGGGCCAGAAGCCAATTAACTCGCAGAAGTAAATTAACTGACCAGTGTGTGTTTGGACTACGGGAGGAAACTACAGCACCTGGAAGAAACCCACTCAAACGCAGGGTGAACATACACACTCCATGCAGATAGCACCCCAGAAATTGAACCCAGGGCCCCAGGGCTGCAAAAAAGTAACACTAACCAAACTACTCTTGCTTTTAATTTTACACTTCACAATTTAAATGGTTTGGAATCCAATGCAAGTTCCCTTATCTTTCATAATGTGTTTTTTCAAGAGGCAACACACTTCAGATTAAACATAAGAAAGTGCAGTACCATGGAATTTGTTCTTCTCTTTCAACTCTGGGTCATTTATATCCACATCCTTCATCCTCTGCCTTTTCCTCATGTTTTCTTCGAAATACCAACTTTCGTTTTCATCAAATGTCATGAACAGTAAAACAAATTCCCTCGTGTTCGCTGTGGTGTTGCTCAGGACTCCTTTCTGACAGATTAAGAGGGGCCCAATCAGGCCTGAGTGGATGTCTTTCTCCTTCAAATAAAAGCAGAAAGGATCAAGGGAAACCGTGTCCCTGTATTAGCCCACCACTGTGAGGTGCAAAAAAGGTTTCTATCACTAAAAGATGTAATAGAAAAATCTGACTGTAAGAACTGTAAATTGCAGTGTCAACTGTACTTGCAATTCTAAACCCATAGTCAGCGTAGATGCTCTCCAGTTTATCAAGAGGGCATTGGATTTAATCTTTGAAATACTTAGATGAAGGTGGAGGACAGCTGTTATTAATGTTGAGCGTGTGAAATACTTTGAAAACCACTGTCTATATACTGTAAGTGCTTTACACGACACATCCAATATCTTTGATTAAAAAAACTCCTATTTTTTCTGCCCACTCTGAAAATAAGAGTAGCAAGGAAAAAACATCTACAGAACAAGAATATTTGAAGTTCAACATGCTTTGACAGATACAACATGATCATTTTTCACAATAGTGGCATAGGTGTTAGTTATACACAATTAAAGTTATTCTTGTAAATGATTATCACGACCAGAACCATCCATTAATATGTGACTTTTGACAGCAAGAACAACCTCAGATTGCAGATGATCTTTTATTTATTTCCTAAACTGTCGTTACAGGAAAGGAGAGATCTAACAACCATAGAGGTAACAGTATACCTAAGTATCTACAGCAGTTCTTATAAAACTTTTTTTAAGTTCCTGCAATACATTTCATAGGAAAAATACAATATATTTCTTGTACTATACTTCATTTTCAGTAGGTGTGGATAAACAAAGTTTTGGACAAAACCGATAACATTTCACACTTGGACCACAATACCTTAGTACACAGTCATTCAATTAATACTACAAAAAGTCTTGCAAAGAATATCACATTTCCCGATGCCTTAAAGTTTTGTGACATAAGGATTAAGTTACCTGAAAGACCTTTTGGTTATATTTATTACTAAAATGTTTCATTAAGTAATAATCATATTTTATTATACTAATATACTTCTTCATTTTCACTTACAGTATTTGTAAATCTTTTCATTTTTTCTTATAATGTATATATTTCTACTCCATTCTTGTTTTATTATCTTTATTTTTTTTTCATTCTTTTGAGTTCACTTGTAATTCACTTTGGATCTTTCCGTTTTATTAAGTTACCGATTGTTTTTTATCCATTCAGAAATGTTCTTGAGAATTTTAGATGGCTTTGTTGATTTCTAATTTATTTTGTCTTTCAAGTGCTCCAAATTGTTTGTAGTCAACATCTAATGTCTCAAAGTCACTTTATGCAACATTGCTATATTTGTAAGGTTAGTGTATCTTAACACTATTATTTGAACATTTTCTGTGTAGTATTAATTTTTATAAGTCTGTAAGTAATTAAAAGAAAATTGTACTCATTCAGGCTCAGACGTCTGTCCTCTTTTTTGAACCTAGAGAAGATAAATTGACCTCCTGTCTTGTAAAGGGGAAAAGTATACTGGAGAACTAATTTTAATTTCACCTCATTCATTTCTCTTCCACAGCCGACACCTTGATCGGTACTTACAGGGTTCACTCCGGAATAGTAGGCCCAGGTCCTGCAGGCTGAATCAGCGGATTTAGGCCCGATTTTGTCAGTCGCCTGCCAGATGTAGGTGTAAGTGCTCCCTGGGGCGACGGCATCATCCTTCTGATACCAGTGAGGGGATTCGTCGTCATACTTCATTCCTTCCATTTGTTTCCCAAAGGAAACCCCGTGGGCATGTAAGGAATAGGGTCGGGAAGCAGAGTTTTTGAAAACAACCTGAAAATGTAAAAACAAAAGTTATCAAAAGGCTAAGAACAATACATTTTTAGAATACTTACCAAGGAGAGTTTAGTTTTTATTTACATATTTACATAGGTATTTACATATTACAACTAGCAGTGAAACATGAGCCAGACGGCACAAGTAGGAGCAACAGAGAATTGGAAGCAGATTTTAATGGGAGTGTGAACAAGCTGCCCAGCTTTGGTACTGAAGCCGATATCCTGTCTTCTTTCAAGAAATATCTGGATGAGATCCTCGGATCAATTAACTACTAACTACTAAGTGGGTTAATTGGACTGAATGGCCTCTTGTTTGTCACATTTCTTGTATGTTTTTGCTTCCATATGTCTAGTGTCAATACTCCTCCAGTTACAGGACAGAATTTCAATTAATTGTTGTGATATGAAGCTGCATCAGCTACAAATACAGAGAGCCTTGCTAAAGTATTCACCCTCTAACAATAATTTCACATTTTGATGAAATACAAGTAATGTATAATTTTGATTTTAATTTTAATGTATACATTTTGTTTCTGTATCTAACTTAAAACTTGTTTATGAAGGAGATTGAATGCTAATAATCTAAGGGAACTTTGAGAGACAGATGTATTTACTCTGAAGACAGTTTAAACTAAACACACATAGAGACCATTGCACTAATTTAGTAACCTTTCAAACTATTCTTCGTACCTTAAAAGGGTTTAGGCATATTACCATTGCCGTAGCAAAATCAGTTGATTTGCAATTAACCTATGCAATTACCTTTATGTTGTTTTGTTTTCATATTATCAGTATGTTTTAGGTCAATCAGTTTGGAGAAGATTCTGAAAATAAAATTCTATTTGAAATCCTTATTGCAGGCTCAGGTGGCAGCAATATACTGTATGGAATTGTGCACGGGGCTGAATTATTTTTCAAGGCTTGAATACTTAATAAAAAGACATTAAACGGGATCAAGTATATGCATGCCCTAGCTTGTTCAATATTTAAATGCTTACTGTTTTTTAGTGATATTTCCAGATTGTTTATTTATTCTGAGAATTTATGACAAACAGTATGCGGTCACCAATTCTTATTATATCAGCAAGGCATTGTGGTTTATATAAGCCAAGATATGTCACTTATTTTATATTCAGGTAATTTCAGTCTTTGCTGTAGGGGATGACTACCTATCCTGACCATATGGCAACAAAACTACAGTACAAGCCCTGTTTTCTTATCCATCTAGAACTAGTGTTTGCTAGTTGTTGCAGTTTGTTTCTGTGTAACACCATGAAAGGTTTAGGTAACATACTATGATGCTCTCATCTATCTCCGCTTTTATAATTGGACCAAGAATTCCCAGGTGCTCATCTACTTCTCCACGAATGCTTGGAATGCTAAAGGTACTGTCCAGGTAGCTGCGGAAAATGGCTTTCTTATACTGCGTGTTCCTTCTGCTGTCGGTGACCTCCTCATCCCTCCTGTAAAATAAACAACATTATGACATTTCAAGAGTGGACGGTCCACTTCTCGGTCCACTTCTATGAGCTGTGCCATCAGTGATGTACTCCTGCAAACCGAGTATCGGAGTAGATAGGAAAACGTTTACTATGCTAGTGACACTATGTAAATACTTTGCTAAATACTATAATAAATACTATGCTGGTATTTACTATACTATTTACTATTACTATGCTATGTGACACTGCTCTTACTACACAAGGCAGAGTATTAGAAAGTATGGTAAAAATATTGAGTAGCACAGTATGACCAGGCCACGCTCCTGTAGAAGGCACAGAAAACAAGGTTAACAGTTCAAAATTGATCAAGTAACTCACTATAGCAATGCAATAATGCTTAAAACATTGAATGTGTTACTGTTGTTCTGTTCTGTTCTGCAGCATAACCACTTACTAACCTGCAGATTCACCAGATCTCAACGGTTAATCAAGCCTTGGCCTGGTTTGTTCTGAGAGAGGAGACCTCTAACGAAAACCTGCTTGCTGCTGTAAGTGGTGTTGGTGGACCATTACGGGGCACGCTTTGCTTTGGAGCTAACAGTCCAAACCAATTTCCTAGTCTACTGACTAGGGACAGTGTGTTATAGGAGGTGTTATTCTTCAGACTGTATGTCAAACCAAGGTCCTGACTACCTGGTTGGGAACATCTGGGTTTTAAGAGTTGGGGTGTTGATTCTAGTATCCAGTCGAAATTTCATTTTCAACTTTCCTTGTTAACCTTGTACGATTCGTTGTTAAAGTTCCCTCTTAATACAATTGGTGAATCAAATTACAGCTCTCCATCTGGTTTGAACACAGTAGCAGCTTTGTGTCACCTAGAAGAATGATGAAGTGTAAAGTGCATTCGGATCCTTGGGTATAAAAAATGATATATAAATAAAAATAATGTCTTTTCAAGATCTAATTCTATATTGAATACCATTTCATTGGACCTATGCAGAACATCTGTCAGGTTCCGCAAAGCCTGTGGTACTTAACAGTCTGTAGGGGCATAATCACTCAAAACTGCACCACTTGCAGCGCCAAATAATTAATTGACAATAATAAACAGTAGATCTGTTTCCTCAGATCTAATCAGGTCTAATTCTGTATAGATGTACTTTTACATAAAAACACCTGAGAACAACTTGCTCCTCACATTTTGTAGAACAATGGACATGATGTGCAGGAGTCACCCTAATTGAAAGCTTATTCGGAGAGATCAGAGAACTTGCTGTCAATTTAAAATGTCCTGTGATGAGAAGATTTTGTGAATGGATGGTATCTCACTGTCTTAGTAAAAGAGTCCTGTGATTGTGAAAAGATACCATGAAAAATGTTAATTTGGTTCCTTTTACAACGTATGCTCTTGCCTTACCTTTGCCCTTTGTAGCCAGCATAGTCCCATTCGACTTCCTCTGCAGCTATGTAGTAGATTCTCACGTTGCCTTCTTTGTTTTGCAAGTAATACTTAACAGTTTTATCAATGTCTTCCACGTCAGCAGCAGAAGCATAAGGGTCCTTATATTCCACATACTCATACGCATTCCCAAGATTCTGTGCAGTCTCATCCATTTGGTCGACATCGTATTCTTTTTCTAGTGGGAGGTACAGCTCATAGTCGTCGAAATCTCTCCGTGGCACCCCTATGACGATGGCTCGTTCGTTCAAATCGTCTTCACTCTTGACCGGCCCAAACGATCTGGGGCCAGCAGTCTGGGGCTTGTGTCCTCTTGGGGAGATGACACTACTCCTGGATTCAGGCTTTGTTTTCCTCCTTCTTTTAACTTTGACCCCATCCTTTTTCCTGCGTCTCTGGCTCTGAGGTTTAATTTTGGTTTTGTGGTCTTGTCCAGCTGTTGATTCATTGTGCATGTATTTTGTTATGTGAGATGGGACCTTCACGGGCACACTTTGATGTTTTCCCTCGTAACCCCAGTGTCTCTTTGAGGGATCCAGAGAAGTAGTGAGAATGCCTTGCGTACTCGTGTTCTTCAGGCAGATCAGTACATTTCCTGCATTTCCCCTGGAAGAAGACTTGTCCTCTTCTGAATGTCCATCGTAGTCCAAGTCATGTGGGTTAAGAGTTTCTGTCGAGTTACTGGGGGGTGTTGGGGAAGTCCACGTGCTCAAGCTGTCTTCTGTGTGTTCTCTGATTAAAGAAAACGTAATGTGGGTATCTGAAGAGGACTCATTTACAGTACCTGGAGATGGGGTTGTGTTCAAGTGCTCATCAAACTCTGCAGAGGGAATGTCCTCTTCGCTCTCTGAGCTCACTGGATCTGGTGCATTCCAGTGTTCAAACCCAAGGTTTACTGTTGTTACGTTTGGACCAGTTTCTAAAGCCGGTGAAGATACTCCTGGAGAGGTCTCATTGCCTGTACTGGCTGGCTGTGTATCAGATGACTGGTCCTCCATTCTATGGACATCGGTTCCATTAAAAACATCTTTGGGGTCTTGAGGCAAACTAGATGGTGGAAGGACCCAGAGGTTTCCTTCTTCAGAATGAGTGTTTGTTTCCAATGTTTGGTTTGGTAAAGTGGCAACAGTGTCCTTCCCAAATTCAGTGGAGCCAGTAAAATTCAAGTCCTTCAAACGGCTTGCATTGAATAAATTCATATTTGCATTTTTCCCATTTTGATCTATTGTGGAACTTGAAAAGTCTGTGATATTGTTCTGATCTTCTCCATTACCAGCAGCTTTGGGAGACAGAATGCTGTATTGGATGTCAGTGTCCTGTATGTTTGCAGGATTCTTAGTATTATCCAAAAGAATTTCCACAGTGCCACTATCCAGCAAGACAAAATCAGCATCACTTTTGCTCTTTGATTCACTAGATCTATCACTAGTCCATTTGTTTGAGAGACTGACAGAATAAACAAACATGTCTTTATTGGATGTTGCAATATCGGAATCCCCAGATGATACATTGTCCATTTTTGAGCTTTGCACGCTTTCTTTCTGTACCTCCTCCCACTGTGAGGCAGAATAATTTTGGAACTGGCTTTCCACAAGCTCTCCTGTCTCCTCCATCTGAGCACTTACCATTTCCAATGTCCAGTTACTCTTCGGAACCGGCACTCCTGTTTCATTTTCCTGGATGTCTGTTGCATTTTCTTCAGAGAGGGAAATGGGATCAGGAAGATTAATTTCTTGAAGACCTGACCACAGTGTTTCTGGTTTTACAGTAGACATTTCAACTTCTTTGTTTTTTAAATCAAACTCTTCTGTCATTGTTGTGTTCACCAAGATTGCTTTTGAGTTATTTCTGCTTTCCTCTATGGGTCCCTCAAGTAGTGGCAGTTCAGTGAACTCAAGGTCCTCATTATCTGCTTGCTCAGGGTTAGTATTATTCTGTAATGTAGCTGCAGCTAAAATAGTTTGTTTTTTTCCTGATAACGTCTGGTTATAATCCTTGAGTCCAGAAGAGAGTTCTAAGATGTCTTTCTGAGCCAATGATGTTTGGTTCAAATTTTCTCTGGACAAGGTTTGATTATAATCTTGAGGTCTAGATGAAATATCAAACAAGTCTTCTTCAGTTGATGCTCTTTTACTCTCTTTCTTGTTTCCTCCTGCTAAAGTCTGATTATAATCTCCACGACCAGAAGAAATATCAAATGAGTCTTCAACTGAGGCTCTTTGACTCTCTGTCATGTTTGTTCTTGTTGAGGTCTGAATATAATCTCCAGTACCAGAAGAAATATCAAATGAGTCTTCAACTGATGGTCTTTGACTCTCTGTAATGTTTCCTCCTGCTGAGGTCTGATTATAATCTCCAGGACCAGAAGAAATATCAAATGAGTCTTCAACTGAGGCTCTTTGACTCTCTGTCATGTTATTTCTTGTTAAAGTCTGATTATAATCTCCAGGACCAGAAAAAATATAAAATGAGTCTTCAACTGATGTCCTTTGACTTTCTGTCGTGTTTCCCTCTGCAGAGGTTTTAAAATCTCCAGGAACAGCTCCTGTTCTTTGATGCTCTGTTATGTTAGTCTCATCACCCTCTCTAAGCACCGAAGACAGATCAAGCAGGTCTTCCTCAGCTACAAGTCCCTGAGATTTGTTTCTGAGTGACCGAATTTGAAGCTGAGAAATCCAGTAATCTGTTTCTGGGTCATCCGTGTTTGTATATTCCTTTGGTTCTAGAATTTCAGTTTTTGTGTCAACTACCCATTCCTCGGGTTCCCACAGAAGTATGTCTGATGGTTCACTATCAGTTTCCCACTCATCAGAAGAGTCATTAATGCATTCAAGATCTTTGAACTTTAGCCTCATTCCCTTGTTACTGTAATGGGCGTTTAAAGATGCCAAAAGCCAGTGTCCTGTAAGAAGAACAAACACCATTTATGGACCAGGGTTATCCAAATCAGTTTGATTCTTTTCAGGTTTTTCAAGAAGCCTACTCAGCATCTTGAATGAAGCAGCACAGCAAGCAAGACCATTAATATTACATTACATTAACATTAATCACCCGCCAATGCAATTCTATTAAATTAAAGGTAGTACAGTTTTTAAGTCATACAGTGCCTTGCGAAAGTATTCGGCCCCCTTGAACTTTTCAACCTTTTGCCACATTTCAGGCTTCAAACATAAAGATATAAATTTTTTATTTTATGT